TCTGATCCTTTCCTTGCATGAAGGAAAATAATTTTCTCACCTACCAGTTATTTTTTTAAAAATCTTTAGTATTTCTGGACATCGATCAACAGCGTGAAATTTGAATTTGTTCATTTGCAATCATCATACATGGCAGTTGTCAATGTCTGAATTTTCATCCTGTGACCATGAAGATGCTGCAATGGTCCAAAGGGTGAAAAACATAAGTCACATTTTTTTGCAATGCCATTGTAACTTCAAATGGTCACTAAACAAATGGTTGTAACTTGAGGATGACCTGTAATTACTTAAGAAGCAGTCCAGAACTGCAGGTCTAAGTTCACCATTCATGATCAAAGTCAGGAACTAGTTATTTTTCTCCTTATTTATGAATTCCAGTATCATCCGCCATTCGGGAATATGATATTTGTTTAAACTGATGGAAAATTAAGAAGAGATGATAATATTTTAAAAGAACCATATATTTTTTCCACCCAAACTTCCCATCTTCTTATATGATTTACTCAATGGAAACCTGTCTCTCTTTGAACGACCAAGGTAACTCTGAGAGAAATAAATGACTCCTAGTCCATGTGCCAGAAAACATACACATGTTGAACTGTGTGTAGTTTTCTTGAGGACAGAAGCAAACTGAGTACAATGTGTCAGAGGTCAGCTGAAATATTTTATTTACTGCAGCCCCTTTCAGTTTGTGCAGCTTAGAGTCTCTGTAGGATTTCCCAAACCAGGTGCAAGTTTTCATTACAAAGCTCCCTCCCTAGTGGTAATTTTAGTCAACAGGAATACATCTGCAAATTTCTGGAGTTTTTTTTTTAGTCCAGAGGAATGATAGCAATAGATCTGTGCGACAGATCTTACTTCAGAAATTCAGTCCTTCAGCGAGTTTTCAAAAGTCAATAGGAGCAAATCAGGAAGGTGAATAAACACAGTACAGACCACCATTAGTAGAAGGGCCACCTTTTAGAGATTTGAAACTGGAAGTTTTAGGAAACTGAATCTCTCTATATGGGTGTTCTGTCCTTATTGCTGAGGTAAACGTAGCTATAAACTCCCAGGTTCAGTCCTTATTAACATGATGTTTTATCATTCCTTGTTGACATCTTATGCTATTTTTCTACTATGTGGTTTCTACTATGCGGTTCATTCTAGGGAATACCCCTTACCCTGAGGGGAATCATACACTCTTACAGTTCACTTTATTTGGTAACTTGCCTTTAGGATGGCTAGATTTATTGATTATGTTTATGTTACGCTTATGTTTAAGGCAAATGAATAGACAGAGAAATGAAACCTTGCAAAGTAATGCTACAGCAGCCCAATCATATTTTAAAGTACCATTAGTCTTTTGAAATGTTTTGCAAACTGGGCCTTACAAGGAAAGCAGCTCCCTGCAATGCGTTAAAACAATCCGCTCAGGGAGCTGCACAAATCTGAAAAAAGGATGCTGCTACTTTAAAGAGTCGACTCATTCATGTGATGCTTAATCAGACACAGCATTTTTTCAGACTTAAGAATCCAGGCTGCTTTAATGAATAGCACCGAGTTGGGTGTTCATAGTTGTGTGAGGTCTAAGGCAGATGTTCCAAATTAATTTCAAAGTATGCACTGTTCTAATCTTTAGCCTGTTTGTCACTAGTAGTGATTATGTAGTTGCTATATGGGTGTTCAGTAAGGAATGAATATGCTATGCACAGAAGACAAGCAAAAATGTTCCATGCAAGCCTAAATCAACCAAGCCTACTTTCCCCCCCTACATAGCGAACAACAGTTGAATCTTGACGAGTACAGCTTTTCTTTGAACACTTTGGAAGAGGTAATCCCTTTAAATAATACCCTTATCTGATAGAATTTGTTGGGGTCCCCTCCCTCCTCCCAGATCTTACAGCCTTATCAAGGCAGAAGGGTGCTCCTGGGAGGGGTCCAAGTGAAGAACACTAGTAGAATATATGTTCTTCTAACTATGGAGTGACCCTGTGTTCTCCATAGAGTTGCTCAAGGCATGAAGGCATTCCAAAGCAGACCCCTATATCTGGCCATAGTGACCTAGAAAGATGTTTGGAAGCAGATCTGCTTCCTACTGCTTCTTAGTGGACAATGGGGAATCACTCATGTATTTTATCAAGAAAACCATATGGATAGACAAGATAAACCGACTGATGATATAGTGCTGGATGACAGGCCCCTTGACTTACCTATTTATTTATTTTTAAATTATATTGCCATCTACTCATTGACAGTGACTCAAGGAAGTTTACAGGAGATTAAAAACACAATATAAAATAAATAAAAATAAATAATAAAAACAATAAAATAATAATCCCCATCCTCCCACCTTGTTGACAACATGTACTCATACCAGCCATTTAATGGGCTCCATCCCATTCTGGGTTCTCCAGGCCCGCTGGAAGAGCCATGTCTTCAGTGCCTTCTGAAAGAGTGTCGGAGTGGGGGCCACTCTACTTTTTGAAGGCATGATGTTCCAGAGGGAGGGAGCCACCACAGAGAAGGCCCTTCTTCTAGCACCAGATGTATCTTGTTTGGGATGGGACCTGCAATATGCCTTGCCTCCCCACTCTAGTGATAGGATGGCACTTCATCTTACTGAGAAAGGGCTGAAAATATTTCAGAGTACTAACGATGTTTATGATGCAGCTACATCATCCAAAAGATCCTTCTTTTACAAAAAGAACTAAAACTAATATTTTCCTAGGAAAGATAAATATTAGGCAACTGTTATCTCTTATACCATTCATCCATCATTGACTAACTTATTAAACATTGTCTGCTTTATGTAGGTTTTCCTAGAACTTTGCAAAGAGCAAGAGCGAGATTATTTTGATTTGCCTCCGAATACAACTTTTGATTGGAAGAAACTTCAAGAAGGTGATCTCTAAGTCGTCAACACATTTTTTAAAAAAAGAACAGTAATGATACACGCACCGATTCCTTGATCTAGAAGAGAGAATATTCTCTAGATAATGGGACTTATAATCTGCTACTTAGAATGCAAGTCTTAAAAGAAAAGGCATTATGACTAACCCTTATATTAGCCACATCTAGAAAATTTACAGTTCCAGAAAATTTCAACCAAGAAGAAAATGACTTTTTCTGTATTGTTTTATGTTTCAGGAACATAAATTTCACCTTTTATTGTGGATGTAAATTAAAGTATACATAATACTTTCAAATATATACTTTTAGATCTGCTCTCCTAAATGTGTACAGATATATTTTTCAGACTAAAATATGTAAGTGCCTTAATTCTGATAAATATGATAGGTGTTATGTCCTGAGGACTCAAGGAGTTCTCACTCAGGTCCACTCA